TTTTTTTGTTCGTTGTCGTCCCTCCCCTAACACCGTCCATGTTGCCGTCACTGCTGACCGTTAAGTCCCAAACGGTCAGCAGTTAAACCCATCTCTTTTTTTTTTTTTTTCCACATATGCTGCCCACCTGTGAACCCATTTTCTTCTTTTGAGGAATTGTTTGATGCTGATGAAGTTTTTTGCACGGGAAATGCTGTTTCTATATTGCCTATTGGCAGCATTACTTTCTTGGATAAAAGGCAATTTCTCATTTTCTTCTAATTTGAACAGATTATGTTTCCTCAATATATATTGACTTTGGGGGTTTCATAGCTTTGGTAATGTCATCATTAATGCTGTCACTGTAGATTGCCTAGTAGGTCCAGCATGTATTTTGCACCTAAACTAATACTAGTTGAGTGATGCAGGGTAGCTTTTGGCGAAAATGGGTCTGTGTTTCGGCAACTTTGCTCAGCACTTACAGATATACAAAGGGGTTTTGCAGAGGACAAAATGGGTTGGACTGTAACCTTGAAGTAGAAGATGCAAGAGATATAATTAGCTTATTTTTGTGAGTTCTAAAAATTATTGTTCATTTACCAATGACTTATGTAATTAAGTGGTAATGCATTTTTTGTAAAAATTAGAGATCTTAAATTCTAATTGCATGATATGCAGATTGAGTAGATTAAAAGATAAAAGAAGATTATTTTTTATTATACAACTTAAAATTTTTTTTAAAAAAATTGTAGTTCGTTTTTAATCCTTCCTCATGAGATGAAAAATTCTCTTTCTTTTTCCAAAGTGAGATCTGTGGTGATATTTTGGTGATTGCCTTTGTTTTTTGTTAGTGGAATTTCCCTTTTATGTTGCTGTGATGCATTTGTATTTTAATTGATTATAATGTACCCGTGACATTCTCGTAATTTTACCAAGGGTGTCTCCGTTGAGCAGTGTAACCTATCAGGCCAAAAGGTGAATACATATTCTTTTATATTGCACATCTAATTAAAATATAAAATTCTAAGTCCTATAGTTAAAATCATATTTTTGCTAGTAACCAAGTGAAAACTAGGGGCATTATGATACTGTCAAAATCAACATAAATTTGAATAAATCTACATAAAATTTAATTTAAAAAATAATGTATATTATTAAAATTGGCACTAAAGAGCCACTTTTCTAAATTTAGAGGTAAAAATAAAATTAAAAAAAAAATCAAAAATGGCAAAAGATCGAAGCTAAGCATGATGAAGTTCATGGAGGGAGATGGGACGGAGATTGGTGAACAGAGGTTTTGTAGGAGAAGAGAATTGGTGAAGGAAGAGGATAAAAAAATAATTACAAAATCTATCAACTAAATGCCCTTCAAACTAAAGGTTTATTTGATATAATGGTTAAAATCTAGTGAATAATAGGTAAAGGTTAGTGAGTTGTGAATAATGAATAGTAGATTTTGGATAATAATAGTAGATAATGGATAGTTAATTGGTGAATAGAAGTTTTATAATAATATATTAATAAATTATTATATCTTTAATTTATTTAAAAAA